ACGTTCACCTCACGTGCTGTGATGCTTGGGGTCTTGCCCTGCACCCTTTTTCTTTTGTTGATGCATTTATTTATTTTAAACACGTATTTATCTGAAAGGCAGAGCAACAGAGGAGGAGAGACAGAGATTGTCATCTGCTTGTCCACTCCCCAAGTGGCCACAACAATCTGGTCTGGGCAAGGTCAAAGCCAGGAGCCTGGGACTCCATCTGGTCTCCCACATGGATGGCAGGGGCCCAAGCACTGGGGCCATCTCCGACTGCCTTCCCGGTGCATAAGCAGGGAGCTGGCTGGGAAGCGGACCAGCCAGGACTTGAACTGGTGCACATATGGGATGCTGGCGGCTACTTAACCTGCTGTACCAGAACACTGCTCCCACTTTTCACAAGTTTTCCCCAACTGAGCCCCAGCTCTGGACATGACCGGTGTGGGCCAGAAAACCAGTTCTCAGTTTTAATGTGAACTCTGTGTGTGTGTGTGTGTGTGTGTGTGTGTGTATTCTGTCCTCGCTAATGCCCCCACTTCCTGTCCTCGTGCCGTGTGACCTGGATGACATTTGTTAGAAACAAAACCATGAGGTGGTTTGGCGGGATGGGAGGGCTGTGGGTAACTGCGCCTCATTCATCCGAACGATCTGTTTGCTTCTCAGGTACACAGATAAGCTGCTTCTCCCCGAGCTCCTTCTCCTGGCGTCAGGCCGCCTTCGTGGATTCTTACTGCTGGGCTGCCGTTCAGCAGAAGGAGTCCCTGCGGAGCGATTCTGGGAACCTGCCCCTGTGGCTGCATAAGGTAGGAAACACTCGTATATCCAGCCAGTTCACTTTGCAGCTGGGGAAACTGAGGCCCAAAGAGACTGCGGGCCAGGGGTGCATCTCAGACCAGAAAACCACTGCATGCTGAAGTCAGGGGCAGCCTTTTAAAAGGTTGGTTAGTCTGGCCCTTTTGTATAGCAGTTGGGGAAACAGAAGTGTTCTTGGGAGCTTAGCTCTCTGATGGCAGCCCAGGAGGCTGTGTGGCCCTTCTTGGGAACTCAGTACATTCTGAACATGGGATTGGCAGAGCTAGGACTCTAGTTGGCTTCTTGGCTGGTGTCCTCGCTGCAACACACAGAGTCTTGGACAAAGCAGGGACCAAGTGGTGTTGAGCCAGTGGGCCACTGGAGCACTGAGAAGCCCAGTGAAGACTCCCAGGAGTGCTTGCTGTAGCACGGCTTTTGGAGTAAATTCTTTTGCTCTCTGTTGGATCCACATACTGCAGGGAAGGGAGAAGGAGCAGGGGTCAGGAGCTCTGTGGTCAGGAATGTGTGTGTGTACATGTGCACGTGTGCAAGGTGAGGGGCATAGGTGGGGGATGCATTGAGGCTGGGCACTGAGGGACCTGGGCTGCATCTGGTGAGTTTGTACAGAAGAAAACCCTTAGATAATGATGAGACTCAGAGACTCCGTTAGGTCTTCTCTGTGCTTATGAAAATGACTTTGTTTCAATCACTGGTTCTTTTGTCTGTCATGGAAGCAAAATAGAACATGGGTGTATCCTCTGCACCCAAGTATCTATCTGTATCTATCTGTTACCTGCTGAGAAAACACCACTTTCACTTCTAAAAAGCCAGAGGCTGAACTTTGTTGATTCTCTCCTGCCTTGACCTGCTCCTGAACTCGCAGTTAGCATCTTTCTTTCTCAGAAGAGCTGTTTCTGTGGGCTATGACTCAGCCTGTATCCCCCATGTTCACTGCAGGCCGTTTGGCCTAGTGATGCCTGATAGTGGCTCCTTCCTTCATCTGGGTCAGGCCTTTCACTTTGACGTCCAGCCTGAGTGTCAGGTGGCTCCTATGTCGGCTTTGCGAGGCTTGGTAGCTGGGGAATGAACGATAAGGATCTGCTGTATGAATGGACACGGTTCTTGAACTTAAACAATTTTGTAAGTGGAAACCCATGCTGTTGCAGCTTAAGTCCGTGTGTCTTAATGGCTTAGGAAAATGGAGCGCTCTAATCAGTCTCTTGGCTGAACATTGGCAGATTCGCAGAAGAGGAACATACCAGTCTGGGATTGTCTGGCGTAAGCCTTGGCAGGGACGTTAGTGATTGTGAAACTTTTATAGCAGGAAGAGATGCAAAGGTTTGCGTCCAGGTGGCGTTTCCTGGGTAAGGGAGCCTGGAGGGTTCAGGCCAAGGGTCCCAGTGCTGGTGCTGGAGTTCTACCCTGCCGCCCCTGACTGAGGAAGGGGGAATCTGCTAGCAGTAGTGGTAGGCACACCTTAGGCCACCTGGTGTGAGTGGAGATCTGGAGTCAGCAGTGTCCCTAGGATACCCACTTACCAGAAGCAAAAAAAATCCTTCCATTCAGAGCCTGAAATTCTCACTGTGGTTTTTCATGTACGGTATTCAGCACTCATTCAGAAATAATCAGGTGTGCAAGAAAACCAAGAGAAATCAGATTCCTGGGTGATTGACAAGCCATACATTTAAAATAATCACCAAGAGTATGTTCAAAGAATTGCAATAGAATTGCAGAAGTGGGAACTATGTCAAGGAGTGAAATGGAAATTATGGAGCTGGAAAGAGAGGGTGGATCGTAGCTGACGCTGATAGAGGGCCGAATGCCGGGACACAAGCTGTGCATCAGGAGCCGCCAATGTCTCAGGCCCCGCCTGGGGCAGCCCACCATTGAGTGGAGGGAAAACCGTGCGGGAGAAGTCGGAAAAGACATCATGAGAAAGCTGGATGGGAAAAGGAGATGGTTATCCTAGACGCCCAGGAAGAGCATGAGTGGAGCGGGTGAGACGGAGCTTGCCGTGGTTCATGAAATCCTCAGCGATCCCGGCAGTAAGGATTTTGTGAAGACGGAGGGGCCAGCTGGCCGTGGGCGAGGAGTCGATGGGAGGGGGACAAGATGGGAACAGATGGTTTCTCTAGACCTGTTTTTTTTCTTTTCGAGAAATTTTCTCTTCCTGGTAACCAGAGATAGAGTTAACTCAATGTTTGAGTGGTGGTTGGGTTTGGGTTGTGCCCCCTAAAAGGTCTGTTGAAGTCTTAACCCCCTGGCCCCAAACATGTGACTCTGGCATAGAGTCGTGTCCAGTGTAACTAGTTACGGTGGAGTCGTACCTGAGTAGGGTGGGCGCCTGCTCTGATGTGACTGATGCCTTCCTAGGAAGAGGAACATTTGGGACACAACAGTATGAAGACCCCTGGGCGGGAGGACGGCCACGGGACCATGGAGGCTCATACTGGAGCAATGGTGCCAAGCTGCGGGGTGCCTGGGCCTTCTAGGAAAAGGAGGGATCCCTGCACTGAGAGGTTGCAGTGGGAGTGTGGTCCTGCTGACACCTTGACTTTGGACTTCTGACAGCCAGAACTGAGACACAATCCTTATGGTGTGTGAAGCTGTCCGGTGTGGGGGCAGAGAGAACCAGGTTCAGAGCAGCCGAGCCAGACATGAACGTTAGCATGCCCTTCTCAGCCCAGACAGACTCTGGCATCTCAGCTCCTTTATTTCCATGGTCGATATCTTTTTTGAGCTTTTCCATTTTTAAATACATAGCATTTGCCTTCTGAACCACTTTTAGGCATATGGTTCTGTGACATTAAGGAGCTTGGCATCGTGCACCTGTCACCACTTGATGCATGGAAGATGAAGACATTCTGGACATAAACAGTGACTCCCCCTTGCCTCCCAGCCCCTGGCAAACACCTGTCTGTTGTAGACACCTCACAGTATTTGTCCTTCTGCGTCAGACTTACTTCATTTAGCATCGTGTTTTTAAGGTCCTCCTCCTTGTAGCCTGTGTCAAGTTCATTCCCTTCTAAGCCTGAACAGAGCACATGTTGTGGATCTGTTCTTCTGTTCACAGACAGCCCTTGGCCTTTGTGCCTAAGGCCGCCGTGAACATCTGTTCCAGTCTCCGCTTCCAGTTCTCTTGGGTGCCCTGAAGTGGAACTTAGGAAGGCTTTCCTGTTGGCTTCTTTGGCTGCTCCACACTGAGCAGATGGGGGGCAGTCACACCGCCGGGACATCTCCAGGCTCTTCACTTCTCAGCGGCGACTCTGAGGGCCCGAGCTGTGGATGCCTTGCCCAAGACCCCACAGCCCCCTTCAGATTCCAGATGTTTCCACGTGTTATAGAAAGTCACAGGTGGTGGTGGTGTGCCTTCGGGGGGCTGTCCCGTCTCCTTGGTGGAAGTTACCGGCTGGTGATCCTGAGTGCATCCAGGAAGGAACCTGCTGGCAGAGGAGCCCACTGTTGGCCCGGGATGTGCTTGGGTCCAGAGGCCACTGGTGATGTCCTCAGCCTCGCTGCTCTGCCCTCCCCCTCTCCATCACCCTGTTTATCCGTGATGAGGATTCGTGGTCTTCACCTCCTGGACAGCATGCCTGGCGCTGCCACCTGTCCACCCTCCAAGGAGGTTGACCTTTCCCCTTCACGCCTGCATCTCCATGGCCCTCACTCTGAACTGGTTGCCTTGAGCCAAGTCAGGTTCCTACCTCGCCCTCCCGGGTCACTCATGGAGTTAGTGACAGCTCCATAGGAGATCCTCAGACCTCTCCATGCCCCTCTGCAGCACCAACCTTTCCCTTCCCCAAGGGCTGGGTCCACTTCGTGTCCTGTTGGGGTCTGGGCCACACCCCCTGCTCTCATTCTCTATTTCTCTCCTCTGCATTGTCAACCATTCTCCTTCTGTGATCTCCTTCCCCATTAACATTTTAACCATGTGTCTCCCCCTCACAGGGGAAGACAGGGGGGCCTGCTCTGTCCTTTGGTGTCTCCATCATTCTCTGCCCCCCAAAGTACCAGAGTCTGTACTGTCTCACCTCCCCTCGCCACAGCCCAGGAGCATCTGGCCATACCCCCAGACCCTGCCCCACCCAGGCCACTTGGACTCGCTCACTCCCCGGGGCTTACCATACTTGGCCCCTCTCCTTGTGAGGGTGAGCCCTTGCCGCACACCCAGTCTCCTTTGCTGAGGCCTTTTCTTTAGAAGCAGGGGTCCTCGGGGGCTGCATGCTAGGCAGCCCTTCTCCTGGCCATCTCCTCCACTCCTGAGTCTCACCTGCTGCCTGGATGCCACCCTGGCTAATTCCTGCTGCATTGCTCTGGGCTCAGCTGAAGGGCCTTTTCCACCTAAAAGGTTGTGCTGATCCTCGAAGTGGGGCACTACTGGCTGTGATGCTGGGGATTTTTCAGAGAATGCAGAGAATTTGATCCCGCAGCATACCCGGAGAGGGCGAAGACTTGGGCAATAGATTGATCGCTCCAGTTGAATGTTTTTTTCCTGGAAGTAGGTGGGTTTGATCGAGAACATTTTGTACTCCTGTGGGGATAATAGAGAAAGATTCTTTTCGTGGCTGCACTTTTTCTTTTCAGGGGGAATTATTAATAAAAGTATAAAGAGCAATTTGGAGGAAGTCACAAAGAATTAGATGGAAGATTTCGGGATGACTGCTTCCTCGGAGGTTTAGCTGGTTCGGTGTGTTTCTCTGCAGTGAGCCTCTCCTGCCCCCTGCACTGCATCCCAGGTTCATGAACGGGCTGATATGCAGGCATATCAAGCTGTACTCTGAGGACAGAGCAAGTTGCAATCTGTGGGGGACAGGTGAGACGTTTCTGTCTTCTGAGCAGAATTATTTTGTGTTCCATGGAAATAAAACGTCTGCTTTATCTCACCCTGGCTGTGCATCCCTCCAGCAGCTGCCACTATACCTTTGGGTATAGTGACTCTCACCTTAGTTCTAGCTCGTTCATGAGTTCTAACGTTGTGAGTTCCACACAGGCAGAGGCCATGCCTGTGTCTTTCATCCCCGCGCCCTGGGACACTGCATCGCCCACCTGGGGCACTCAGAAGATACGGGAGCACTTCAGGAAGTTTGTTGGAGATGGAATTAAAAGATGGTTGTTTTTCGTCATGTGCATTTTCACAGCTTTTTACACCAAAACAAACTTTACTTTTCTTTGTCACCCACAAACTCTTTGAAGTACCCTTAACTGCAGGGAGGAGAGAAGTAAGACGGCTTGTGTGTCTCTACAGAGCCAGGCTTAGTTCTCCAGGAGCACGGTGATGGTGGGGAATGAGAGACTCCGGGTGTACCTGAACATTTCTTTAATTCTGATGCTGAAGTTAAAACATGGGGAGTCAAATGTCACCAAGGAAGTTATTTGGTGCAAAGTTCAAGTGAATATCAGTGCAGAGTGCATGGTGCGGATATGACCTGTGGTGTGCTTTCTCCCGTTTGCTTTTTCAACGACTTCTTTTCTTTCCCTCCTCCCTTTCCTGCTCATTGACTCTTGATGGCTCTCAGTTTGTGCTCAGAACAAGTCTTTGCTGGAGATGTGGGTGCATCTGGGAGACCAGCAGGTGGCGCTCTAGGACTGCTTGATAACTGGACTTTCTGTGTGTTCAGGTTTAGAATGTTGGGAACTGTTCCGCAGGATTTCTCTCCAAAATGGAAAAATCGGCTTTTTACTAAAAAAACTTAACAGAGTGAGCAAATCTTACATCATCTGAAATAGATTCACAGAAGCGTGGTTGGAGGGGTCCTCTGACAGAGTTGTAGGACCAGAGATTTCCAAACCTTAGCGTTACCTTGGGGACCCTGTGAAAATACAGGGTCCTGAGCCCTTCCGAGCCTCTGGGCTTGAGGCCAGGAATGTGGCTTTGCTGGGCTTCCCAGGAGACTGTGATGCCGGTTGATGGCCTGGCGTGGGGCCCTGGGTGGGCACCGGCAGTGTGCAGCAGTGTTTCTGAAATTCTCTGTGCTCGCAGGTCACCATCTGGCTAGACCGTAGACTGGTGGGGCCTGGGTGATGCTGGCCATGCTGGTCTGTGGGTCACACCCTGTTTGAGAAGAATTGGGACCCAGGCTCCCTCTGAATCCAGCCCGGCACTTGTTTAGTAAAGGAAGTTTTATTGGGACACTGTCTGCACCCTGTGAAGGGAGGGTTGGGTGACTGCTGCAGGGACCGTGTGGCTCACAGCTGGGCCTGTGATGTATGGCATGGAAGCCCCCAGAGGATCACCTGCTCCACTGCCGGGAGCCCCGGCCTCAGGGCGCACCGTTCTGCTTGCATGCAGCTCCTGGAGCAGGCTCTGGCTTGTTTCCTTGCAGGCTGCTTCTCATTCTCTCCTGAGTCTTTTCCTTCCATGCACCGAATGTGTGCTCATCACCTGCCCTTCCCCAGGTCTCCCCCATGCTGGGCCCAACACGAGGCGCAGGACCTTGGCGCCGTCTGCTCCATGCCGCCACCCAGACCCTGACCCTCACGTAAGCTGGAAAGCAGCACTGTTCTCTGTCCTGGCCATTTCTGGCCCTCACTTCTGAGCAGGCGCTGACACGCTTGCCCCCTCTGCCTGGAGCTCTCAGACCCGCCTTGCCTCCCCTCTGTCCCTGCCTCTTGCTTGGCTGCAGTGAGCGCCCACCTTCTCTCTACTCACTGGCCTGCTGCTGTGGTTTTCTGGAATGAGTGCTCATACCCTGCACCGGGGGCTTCCCAATTCAGAGAGTGTGGTGCTTTGGGGGTCTTCATAACTCAGTGTCTGCCTGCCCTTTGTGTGCATGTTTCAGAGCTGCCATGACTAACTGACCACAATTTGGACTTCTCGTCTCCAGAAGAGAAATAAAGTCAAGGTGTTGGCAGGGTTGATTCCGTCTGTGGGGTGGGGAAATCTGTTCCTTGCCCCTCTCCTCCTTCCCAGTGGTTTGCTGCCTGTCGCTGGTATACCTTGGATAGGAGATGCATCATGCCAGTCTCTGCCTTTGCCTGTACACGGCTTCTCCCTGTGTTGCTTCCAGTGGCCTTTTAGAAGGACAGAGCCCATTAGAGTCGGGCAGCTCCTAATTTGGCACAACCTCATTTTAACTACTTCTGTCAAAACCTTGTTTCCAAACAATATCCCATTCTGAGGTTTGCAGTAGATGTGAATTGGGGAGGGACAGTGTTCAGCCCACGGTACCCTTCCAGCCTCAGCAGTTTCTTCTTCCTCATCTCTGAGCCTGTTGGTGTGCTTTGGTGCTTCGAAGGGCTTAGGGTGGCCCAGGTAGAGGGAAGAGAACGTGGAAGAGGAAGAACTCGAGCAGAGCCTTCATGTAATATGGCTTCACTTTGTCTTCCAGTGCAATGAGGCAGGAAGACATAGCAGGTGTGACCTCTTGGATCTTGGATGAGGCTCCCCTATCCCCTTAGCATTTATGTAGGCCGTGACCAGTGCTTTTATGTTTGGCCTACGTGGTCCTGGGGGAAGACTCTACATTTAGTGGAGATATTGTTGAGGTGGTTTACCTATCCGCATCTAACATCCCAAGGTTGGTCACGTCCACATCAAGAGAGGAGTTGTTCAGTTCTCATCAGATGGTTCTTTCCTTTGATGAGGTGGAGGTGACTTGACCGTGGACAGAGGTTGTGTACATAACCTTCAAGCTTCCTTCCATTGGGAGGTTCTGTCGTCCTGACTCTTCTAGAAACAGCACAGATTATAAGGGCACAGAGACTGAAAATTGTGGTTGGAACTGGTTGGTCCCCTCTGCAGGACAGTTTCCCTGTCCTTGCAGAGCTCAGGAACAACGCCAGCCCCGTCCAGCAGGGGGACTCTCAGAGAACTCCAGTGTGAATACACCCCTCATTTGCAAAAACAGGTCTTAAAGATTGTAATTTAATGCTTTTTAGATTTTTAGATCAGTGGAATTGATTTTACTACCTTATTACAGACTCACTGAAAGTAGTCTTTGTTTGTTTGTTTATTTTTAAATAGGGAAAAGTGTTTTACTTTGGAGGAACCCAAGAAAGGGCACATTAAGTTATATAGTTACATAGGTAATCAGGGTACAAGGATATTTTAGCAGAAAGGCAAATACCCAGTAAGTTATACCCTTAAACTTTTGTTTTCCCAATTACAAGGAACTGTACGGCACTATTCATTAGTTCTAATTATTGCACCACGTAGATATGTTAGAAAGACTGCCATGGACCACAAACAATCGCTTTTTAATTGAGAACAATTTGAATATGATTCAGACAGCTTTGAAACAAAAGTGACAAAAATACTTCACAAGCCCAAGCTACAAATACTTTCCCTTCCGTAATTCCTGGAGAAAATGTCATGTTCTCTTGGCTATGGAAGCAGGACAAACTCCGTATCATGCAATTATGGTTTTATGTTAATGGGCACCCTGTAGAGTGGGCAAAGATTGAACATTGCTTTCCCTACAGCCAGCTTTGAATCATGCAGCCAAATGTAGCTGATCATAGCCTGCTGGGTGTGTTCTTGTATAGCAACCCTTTGCAAATTGGGTTAATCATTTTGAGAAACCCCATTGCTATGGTTTAAATGAGAAATATCCTCTAAAATATTGTATTTAAAGGCTTGCTCCACAGGGTGGCGCTCTTTCAGTGGTCCTTGTGGGTGTGCCCTGGAGGGGGCTCTTGTGAAAGCATTAGTTTGTGCCCCGCCACTTGCTGCTTCCTGGCTCCCTATGTGATCCTCCCTCTGCCATCCACCAGGGGACACTTGCCAGAGTCAGAGCATACACTAGGCCATTGGAGGCCAACCCTCCAAAACCATGAGCCAAAGTCAACTTGTCTTTTGCTTACCTTGTCTCTGGTACCATGTTGTAATGATGGGAAGCTGATTTATGCACATCTCCTCCTGGAGCCTCCAAGATTAGGAGGCTTCACAAAGTCCCAGGGCCATTGGTGCTTGCTTATCTCTTCCTCTGGGGCAGAGATCCCTAATGCAGGTCCATAGACATGTTTGAGAGGCCTGTGAAAATAGGAAAATACTTGATAGCTTTGCTTTGTTTTAGGATTTACTTGTTTAGTTGAGCGGCACAGTTAGAGAAAGAGATCTTCCACCTACTGGTTCACTCCCTGAGTGGCCGCAATGGCCAGGGCAGAGCCAGGAACTCCATCTGGGTCTCCCATGTGGGTACCGGGACCCAAGCACTTAGGCCATCTTCCACTGCTTTCCCAGGCACATTAGCTGGGAACCGGATTGGAAGTGTAGCAGCCGGGACTCAAACCATGCCTATATGGGATGCCAATGTTTTAGGCAGCGTTTAAGCCTCTGCTGGCCCCTTTCCCTGACTTGCAAATCCTCTCCACCTTGCCTGTGCCCCTGGGTCCTGCTGCCCACTGTGATTGGCGTCTCTGAACTCAGGTGTCCACTGTAAAGTCAAAGTCTGCTCCGTGTCCAGTGAACATCAGCTGCAGGTTTCAGCTGTTTTACTTGGCTAATGACTATCTCTGAAGCTGTGTCTTCTGTGGCATTTTCCCAAATCCCAGAGAGTGGGGAGAAAAACAGCCTAGGTCTCAGCTTTTAAAATCATAACAGTGGGAACAAAAATTGCGACACTCACCTGTTTTTCGGTGGGCATTTTGTTCAGGAGCTACTGGAAGGAACACAGGAGTAATTTCCCCTTTTCTTTTCCTTCCTTGATTAGAAAGGAGATACCATGCAGTTGCCAGTTACTTCAAATGAGTGTCCGTTGGGTTTTTTAAAAGGCGGTTTCCAGTGTGGGGGGATTAGCTGGGCAGGTGAAGGTAGCCATATGAAGTGGTTAGTATGGACACATGAGCTCAGTGTCCACAGGCGACAGGGGCCTGCACACCGTCCCACAGTGGGAGCAGCCTGGGCACAGGCCGTGCCTTGGGGGCGGGGTCTGCTAACCTGGCCTTGCTCTCTTGTCTTTCAGTTTTTCCCCTACATCCTGCTGTTGTTCGCCATCCTTCTGTACCTGCCGCACCTGTTCTGGCGTTTCGCAGCTGCTCCTCACCTGTGCTCAGACTTGAAATTTATCATGGAGGAACTGGACAAAGTTTACAACCGTGCAATCAAGGCTGCAAAGAGCGCACGTAACCTCGACCTCACAGACGGTGTCTGCCCAGCTCCAGGGTTTCCAGGAGTTAAGGAGAACGTAGGACAGAGGTAGTAACTTCACCCCAGCAGGCAGACTGTCGGGGTTTGCAGTGTGAGTTTGCTGTCTTTCCTCCTGCCCAGCTGGGCCCAGACCTCCCATTGCTAGGGGATGGGAGGGGGGCCATCCCCCTGTGGACGGTTGCTAGGAGCCAGGAACACCCACCTGTCTGTCTCAGCACCTGTCCTGCTCTCGAGATCCATTCCTGGTTGAGTGACATATCCCCATCGGGTTACAGGCTAACGGCCCATGTGTAGCTTGCTTGGTGTGGCCTACTCCTTCCTGGAAAAACATAGAGGACCCTGGGGGCAGCAGAGTGCAGAGAGAGGGTGTGAGAGAGATGGGGAAGAGCAGGTAGTGCCTTGCCTTTTCCCTTCTGGTTCTTGTCACTGACAGCAGTCAAATTAATATTAAAGAGCTAGCATTTCTGGAACCTTTGCTATATCCTAGGCACCGTGTTGAATTCAAGACGTTGTGTCAGTGTATTTATTTATCCCCACGTGCATACTTTTCTTTTCTAGATACAAACACCATCCCGTAGCTGTTAGTAGGAGAGCCTGGCCCTGCAGCCTCGCCCACATCCACTGAGCTTACTCCACCCTCCCCGGATGAGTTGGGCTAAAAGATTCTTTATCCTGCACGTTTTAGTAGAAAATAATTTTAAAAAAAAAGAAAAGCTATTAACAGTTCCTTATTCACAAACATTTCTCATGTTCCAGGTGCCAGGCATTGCTGTCAGAATGTCTGAATATTAACTCTTGTACTAGATCTCTCTCCTTCCTTTTGGAAAACCGGCTTCCAGTCCCGGTCCTCTGAGGCAGCCAGGCTGTCTGAGGTTTCCCGTGGGCGGCCATGAGCGGGTCTCTGCAGTCCCACCGTCTCAGGGTCTGTATTCGTTTTGTGTCCTTTCCTTCGCAGTTTATGGGAGATATCTGAAAGTCACTTCAAGTACCCCATTGTGGAGCAGTACTTGAAGACCAAGAAGAACTCGCACCGGTTAATCGCGGAGTACCTGGGCTGCCGGCTGCTGACGCTCGCCATCGTCCTGGTGGCCTGCGTCTACCTGGGCTATTACTTCAGCCTCTCCTCGCTCTCGGACGAGTTTGTGTGCAGCGTCAAGTCGGGGATCCTGCGCAACGACAGCAGCGTGCCCGACCAGTTCCAGTGCAAGCTCATCGCCGTGGGCGTCTTCCAGCTGCTCAGCCTCATGAACCTGCTGGTGTACGTGCTGCTGGCACCCGTGCTGGTCTACACGCTCTTCGTCCCGTGCCGGCAGAAGACGGATGTCCTCAAGGTCTACGAGATCCTGCCTACCTTTGACGTCCTGCAGTTCCAGTCGGAAGGGTACAACGACCTGAGCCTCTACAACCTCTTCTTGGAGGAGAACGTGAGTGAGCTCAAGTCCTACAAGTGCCTCAGGGTGCTGGAGAACATTAAGAGCAGCAGCGAGGGCATTGACCCCATGCTGCTGCTCACCAACCTCGGCATGATCAAGATGGACGTGATCGACGGCAAAACTCCCAGGCCCGCGGAGATGACGGGAGAGGAGCCCGGGAGCCGGGTGGCCGAGCTCACAGGTAGGGCCCACGCAGCCTTCGGGGCAGCCTTCTGAACCCTGCCCCCATCCTAAAACCATTTTCCTGCTGTGGTCTTAGGTGAAGCCCCTGGGGCCGGGGAGAGGGGGAGGGAAGAACTACGGCTGCCCTTACCCTAGCGCTGACTATCTGGTGGCTCTCTCTTCCTTCTCTGTCCCTCCAGTATTGTTCCCGATTGTCCAGCTCACTTATTTTTGTGTGATCTCGCTGGCTTTGAAAAGGGATTCAGTGCTTGTTGATTGATTTGCTGCCATGTTCTACCTTCCTTGTGCCCTGAAATTAGGCTAAGGATGTAAGATAGACTCTTTAGCAGCCGAAGAGCTGATAGCACGGATGGTCCCAGCTACAGGTCTGTCATAAATATTTGTTTTCAGTTTTGACAGATTTCGCTGAACAGAGTGGAGCTAAAGCAACTAACGGAGATAAGCACGCTCGGCAGAGACTTCTGAATTCTTCTTGCTGATGCTATTTTTCTTGAACATCAAATCCGTGACTTCTGTGACATGGGATTCATCTGGTCTCAGGCACCCCTATTTGGTTCATAGTTGGTTGGTTTGCAGCAAATTGTTCTTGGTAGAGATATTGAGTGTGTCTTACTGAGTCCCTAATGAACACAGTGGTCAACACGGTGTTGCAGAAGATGGCTTATGAACTCCTTCCAAGAAGCAATGCATCATCAAGTCTGCGTGTGGGTCCTGCTTGAAAAATGCAAAGAGTTGGTAAGAGTCGTCAGGAGTAGGATCCCTCTTACCAGGGTAAGCACCTCTCTGCTCCTGTGCAGTCACTGGACAGCGAGAACTTTAGGGGACTTGTTATTTTATGAGATAATAATAAACGTGCCAGAATACAACTTAGTATGAGTCTCTTACGTGCCCTTTGTGACTGTGGGACAAGAAGAGTATTCCTCGTGGACCCCTCAGTCGAGCTGCACTGGGCAGGTCCTTAATCGGTGTGTGTCTGGTGCTGTGGTCCTCTTGCACACGGGTGCGTGTCGACCCTGGCTCATAACACTCCTCTGACCACTGGTGGTTGCACACTGCCCTGAAGGGCAGCAGCCCAAGCACTGCTTCACCGGAAACTTAGTCAAGGATAGAAGCTCCAGGAGTCCTACCTTGCTGGCTTCAGCTCAAGAAGGAACACGTAAAGCCCAGTGGAGAGATCTCAGTTCAGTCACTTTCCAAGGGGTTAGCTACAAGGTGGTTCTGTTATCAAAGGCATTTGAAAGATGATTTACATACTGTCTCAGAACACAGGGACATTGAACACGAGTGGCATCTGCCACATGGTGCCCTTGGAGATGACAGGTTAGAAGGTTATCATGTTTGTACAATGTCAGAATCGAGGCCATGTGGGAAGACCGTCCTAGCAGCGAAGGAGCGTGATAGAATCAGTGTTACAAATGGGCGGGTCAGATAAAACAAGCTTCTTTTTTTCATTAAGAGTTATGGCTGGGGCTATAGTGTAGTGGGCTAAGCCTCTGCCCGCAGTGCCAGTATCCCATATGGATGCCGGTTCGAGTCCTGGCTGCTCCTCTTCTGATCCAGCTCTCCGCTATGGCCAGGGAAAGCAGTAGAAGATGGCCAAGTGCTTGGGCCCCTGTACCTGTGTGGAAGACCCAGAGGATTTGCCTGGCTTTGGATCGGCTCAGGTCCAGCTGTTGCAGCCATCTGGGGAGTGAACCAGCAGATGGAAGAACTTTCTGTCTTTCCCTCTCTGTCTGTAACTTTGCCTCTCAAATAAAGAAATAGAATCTTAAAAAAAAAATTAGTTAAATTTGACTTGGCATATGACAAAAACTTTTCCATGTTCTGACCATGTAAATAGCTCTTAGAAAATATTCTTACAGCATTAACACCTTGTTTAGGCGAGTAGTTTGTTGAGTAGAGCCTTGAAGTTTGCATCTGGCTCTGGGCAGTGTTGCTTACCCAATGCAGTGACTGTCTTGTGAGGAACAGAAGGTGCGGAAGGTGCTGTCTGCCTTTTGCAGTGTTCAGAAAGGCAGATTTCACTTGTATGTCTACTGATCAGTGTGTCAAGGATGCAGTCAATGCTTTGTTATGCATTATGTGATATTTAATACTGTGAATTATAGTGTGACTTAGAAATGGCAGGAACAAGTAACTGATGTTTCTGCATTTTTATATCGCTGTGTCTGACACAGTCCATTGTGATCTCTGCTCTGGTTTCTTTTGAAAATTTGAAATTTAATTACATTTTTCTATGATATGATTTTTTAAAAGTTTCCCTTACTGCTAATTTGTATTTGGATTGAAATGATAAACATGGGTGCTTTGTTTGAGACCGGGAACTCTCCATGCCCTAGCACATGTAGTTGTTTCACTCGAAGGGGTATAATTGGATCCTTGGCCTCTGTTTGAGTTCATCTTTCCGTTTCCACTCTGAGCTCCGGTGGAGTCTGTGATGCCCAGGCACTGTGCACAGCACCAGCTGTGCAGCTGTGAATAGGCAGGCCCCATCCTGAGGGGCTCCGAGTCTCGTGAAAGGCAGCATAGACAGAGGCAGGTGCTAGGAGGAGGAAGAGCAGCCCCAGCAAAGGCCCTGCCAGCAAAGGAGCAGATCCTCTCTGTTCTCAGGAGGCACTGTGCTGGTTTTTGTCTCTCCCAGAGTTTTCATCACTTATGGTATTTGAGAGTCTAGTTATGACTTTTCCCAGAGGCTGATGACTCTCATGAGTTTCTGTAGGCACTGTCCTGTAAGTTGCACAACACTTAGTGATTTTGAGCAGTAAGGGCTGCAGGTTTTCAGACACTCCCTTGCTGAAGGTCAAGAGAACAACGGTGTGTCTCCACAAGGCTTGTGTGAATGCCTGATGAGACACTTCACCTTGGAAGCATCAGGAAAGCTAACTCATCTGTCCACTGGGAGGTGCCAATTGAGTAGACTGCTGTGTGGAAGCCAGGGTCCTGAGGGTGAGGAGAAATGCTCGCATAAAACACCCGCTGCTTTATAAAAGGAGATGAGCAGGTCTCAATGATGTGATCCAAATGAAAGCAAGCTTCTAGCACGCCTTAATTTCACCAAGAGACAGGAGACCTCTTATGGAAAGGTTTTTAATCTTCCAGGGCTTCCAAACTCCCTAGCAAATATATTTAAAGCTGTGACCCTCTGCTCAGAGATCCCTACACTCGGTGGCTCTGAAGTCAAGGAGCTGAGCTCTAAGGGCCGAAGAACAAGCCCCCCAGGGCAGGGAACACAGCTCCCTTTGCCCTTGGGAAAGTTACTTCTTCCAGCAAAAAGACTCTGGCTTTAGTTCATTTAATTAACTGCTTGCATTCTTCTGAATGAGCTGCATCTTTTCAATACCTGTGTTTACTTTCTAGAGTCAGACTGAACAAGGTCAAGGGTGAGTAGGGCCCAACATGACCAGGCAGCTGACCTTGATCGTTATTTTCTCCCTGGCCACAAGGCATTATCTTCTTCCAGACTCATATGATTGTCATCTTCCCCCACTTTGCAATGTGCAAAGGATGAACATACCTCTGATAAAATGCATGCTCCTGCCCTGTGGTACTGTGAGAAAGCTAGAAACGTCAAGCCACACAGATGTCTGGTTTGCATGTTAATGTGTAGTGTGGATACTACCTGTTCACTGCATAATGTCTTCCCATCCAGGACTAAACTCAGAGGGGAATGTCGGGGCCAGTTTAGCCATGTACCTGTGAGAACTGGCACACCTTTTAAAATGTGTTCTTTGTATTTAGGGGCCAGCGTTGTGTCTTAGCAGGTAAAGCTGCCCCTATGATGCTGGCATCCCACATGGGTGCTGATTAGTGTTCCTTCTGCTCTACTTCCAATCCAACTCCCTGCTAATGCGCCTGGGAAAGCAGCAGAAGATGGCCCAAATGCTTGGGCCTCTGCCATGCATGTGGGAGACCTGGAAGAAGCTCCTGGCTTTGGCCTGATTCAGTCCTAAACATTGCAGCAATCTGGGGAGTAAACCGGTAGATGGAAGATCTCTCATCTCTCCTTCTAACTGCCTTTCAAATAAGTAAATCAATTTTTTTTAAGAGAGCGAGAGGCAGAGAAAAGTCATCCATCTACTGGTTCACTCCCTAAATGGCCACAACAGCTGGAACTGAGCTGATTCAAAGCCAGGAGCCAGGAGCTTCTTCCAGGTCTCCCACATGGGTGCAGGGACCCAAAAATCTGGGCCATCTTCCACTGCTTTGCCAGGCTGTTAGCAGAGAGCTGGATCCAAAGAGCAGCAGCCGAGACACAAACTGGTGCCCATGTGGGATGCTGGCTCTGCAGAACCACTATACCACAGTGCTGCCCCCGCCCCACTTTTTTTTTTTTAAATATGTTCATGTTTAGTTTCTTTTGCTTATTGTCAGTCCAGGTTGTCAATAGGAGACCTCCCAGGGTGGGAGTTCTCATCCACTGCTCCAATGCCCAGCTCCTAAAGCCATGACTGACACATAACAGGCATCCTATAAATTTTGTTGAGTGAGTGAACAAACTTCTAAGACAAGTCCTAGTCTGTTGGTACCAGTGGTTCTGTTTTAAAGGGCACATACTCCTCCGTAGGAGAGGGGTTGGTTCATGTAACCTCCTGGTAGAGAGAAGAGCATTTCTGCTGATGAACAGTTTTCCAGTTAGGTAGTAGCTACTCAGATTCTCATTGTAGAGTGAGTTGTGACCCCTTTGCAAGTTCAGTACAAGTTCAGTGTTACTCGGTGATTAGGGAAATTGAAGTTTTAAAGGTTCTGATTTCTTAATTCCCCAGAAAGAACCTCTTTAAAGGGGATGTTGACTGAGATGTGCAATTACCTGTAACTAAGGCTGGGCCTGAGGGCATTGGAGGTAAAATGCCTCCCTTGGGCAGTCCTTGGCATTCTGGCCCTATTTTTCACAAATAAAATGAAACCTTTAAAAAAGATTGACAGAGGTAATACTGTGTCATAATAGATGTCAATTTCTGATTGTCCTGGATGCTTTCATGAAATGTGCTTTGTTTTGGGGTTCTCTTTTTAGCTGCAAAAATATTTGGTCACCAAAGCATGTGTTTTGATCACTGTTTATTCTTTAGGTGTCTCAAAGTTAGAAAAGTTTCTCAGAAAAGTTTCTCATGCCTTGAGTGCTCTCCCCTGCCTATCAAAGGAGAGAAATCCTTGTAGAATTCCACAGTGCAACAGAGTTCTAAAAACCAGAACAATCAGCGCCTCTGTAACAAGTTGGCTTTTTTAAAAGCACCATAATTGCAATTTAATGGTATTCTGTAAAGTGGTGTTCTAGGGCTAAATTACATTTTTTTAACGACTAAATTTCTTCAAAACTTTTAAAGAAAAAAATTTTTTCTTTCCTTGTCATTTGGTGAGAATGTGCCAACAGATGAAGAATGACTTGAAAAATTAAGATCTTCGATTGTGTTCCACAAAGATAGGAAGATGAAGACAATTTATGGTGTTAACAAAATGATCCTTAAAAACACACAAGAATTTTCAAAGCTCTGCAGTTTGGGAGTTAAGTCACTTTTCAAGGCTCTGTATTCTAATCACCCTGTTTTCCAGCAAAGAGAAATGGGCTGGAGATCAAGGCTGTTGTGTCTTCTGGTAACAAGGAAGTGGTGTTTTAGTTCTGCACTGTTTATTCACCTGAATAAAACTGAGTAATGAAAAATGTTCTCCTATTTCTTGCTTTCCATTCAGGGACTGTTATTTCACGGAAAATATAACAGGAGATGAGTCCTGAAATATCTTGTGGCTCATTGCTCTCTGCTGGATACACAGAATTCACTAGGCTCCTTTGGTAGTTGCTAAAATTCAGCAGGCAATTACTAAAGGAAGGAAGTCTTTGATTGAGGGCCCATCAATTCTAGAATATCTAAAGCAGAAATCACAAGTTTCCTGATTGAGGATTGTCTGCCTGGAGTTGGGGAGGAAGGCTGCTAACATGGTTGACCTGCCCCCCTCCTTCAACAGGACTCCATTATACAATGATCAATCAATGCAGCACTGTTGTGGATAAGAAATCAAAGCCATGCGTGGTGCCAAAAATACAGCAAATCCTCCACAAATGCTAGCTCTGAGTATCGTCACTGTCTCCTTTCTCCAGCTCATCCACCCACCCTCTCTCCCCCAGCCACCTTGGATGTTGTATTAGGTTTCTGTTGCTCCATAACAAGTTACCACAAGCTTAGCAACTTGAAACACTATGTGTGTATTCTCTTGAAGTTTTGTGGTCAGGAGTCTGGACACAGGGTACCTGGGTCTCCTGCACAGGGGTGCACAAGCTGTAATGGAGATGTGGACAGGTTGTCTTCTCACCTGGAGACTCTACCCAAGGAAGCAAGCTTAGCTTAATATCTGATGATCTGGAAACTTAAACATACCTGTGCAGTGCCTCCACCATTGCCATGGGTTGGTTAGAATCAAGTCATAGCTCCTACTTCTGTGTACACCAGGAAATTATGTAGAGCGTGAACATCAGGGGAATCATGGGGCTGCCTGACAACACTCTGTCTGCCATGGAAGTTATCCTGAATCCCAGGTGGTCAGGGTAATGAACAAGTGGTGGGATGGACCATGTGAGGCCCTACCTCCTGTCCACCTCTTCAAGTTGGCACCCACCACTCTTGTTCCCATCAAATACTCAGTATTGAGGAGATTGCCAGGTTAGAAGTGAACCCTCCAGTTAGAGCCAATCATTCATCACCACCTTTGCTACATGTTACCCAGTTCAAGGTAGCCAAGTACAGCGCCTCCATTTCTTCCTCCCATTGTAGAGACTGGGGGCTTACCTGGGTTCCCTTCTGAAACAGTTGTATTAGCTTTTTGTTGCCACAACAAAATACCAGAGGAAACTAATTTTTTAGGGAGGAAAAGTGTATCTGGTTCACAGCATTGGAAGTGCAACTCCAGATTGGATAGTCCCGGTGGTTTGGCCTCTGGTGGTGGAATGAGTGCAGAGGAAGAAGCACATGATGAGCTGGGGAGCAGAGAGTGTTTGAGTGTTCTACATGTCTATTGTGACAGACCCTCTCATGGGAACTGCCTTTCAAAGGCATGCCCCAATGTGTACCCCTTAAGTACCTACCAGTAGGAGCACCTGTTAAGCACTATAATTGGATTGTTTCTGTACTCTTAGTACCATTCATAATGAGCATGAATTCAGAAGCCACATTATACTCAAACCATAGCATCCCACCCCTAGGTTCCCTGAAACTCAAGTCTTTCTCATTTACAACATACATTCCTTCTATTCCTGACTTTTAACTCAGTCTGACATTAATCCAAAAGTCTAAATCCAAAGTTCACCTGAGACTCAAGCTCTCTTACATATTTCCAGGGCCAGCACTGTGACATAGTGGGTTATGCTGCCACCTGCAGCACCAGCATCCCCTGTGAGTACTGGGTCAATTGTTGGCTGCTCTACTTTCAATCCAGCTCCTTACTAATGTACCTGGGAAAGCAGTGGAAGATGGTCCAAGGGCTCAGGCCCTTGTACCCACATAGGAGTCCAGGAAAAAGTTCCTGGCTCCTGGTTTCAATATGGCTGAGCTGACTGTTGCAGCCATTTGGGGAAGATCACTATCCCTCTTTCTCTAACTCTGCCTTTCAAATAAATAAAGATACATACTCCTAAGATGCAATGACAGGACAAGCATGGGTTATACAGTTCCATTCCAAAAAAAGAAAATAGGCAAATAGAAAAGATTCATCAGACCAAAGCAAGGCCAAAATCCACTGGGGGAAACAAATGCTAAATCTCCATGTCAGGCATGCAGGGCACACTGGGCACACTGTTGTGGGTGATGAGCTCCCAAGGGCCCCTGTATCCTTCCTGTCATAGCCTAGGCTTTAGTTCCCATGGGTTGGGTGCTCTTGTCTACTGCTCCACTAGGCCTCACCTCATCGGGGACTAACTGTGGCAACTCCAATCCCACATTTCCACTTTGCATAGCCCTGGCCAGGGACTCTAGAGTGGTTGTACTCCATGATAAATCTCTGCCTGTGTCCCCAGGTTGTCTAGGCATCCTTTTTAGTCCAGGTGGACATCTCTAAGCTTCCATGGCTCCATAGTCCCTTCTACCTTGGCTGCTCTCTGGGGTTGTCTGCAGGTGTCTCTGGCTTTCCCAAGGAGGTCTTGCATGCTCTGATCACTTCACCTTGCTGAGGTCTCCACAGTGACTTCCTTCCCACAGTTTGACTACACATTGCCCCAACAGGCTCCACGTAGGGCCTCCACCCTCATTCTACAATTCTGTTTGGTCCTCCCGGCTTTCTTTTGAAATTTTAGTGGAAGCCACCCTGAACCCTGATTCTTGTACCCTATGTGTAAAACCAGCATCACATGGATGCTGCCAAAGTCTTCCCCCAGCACAGCCACTCCCGGGCCTACTTGAACTCTGCTGCAGCCACAGAGTGCTGGCTGCATGCAGGGAAACAAAGCCTGAGGTAGTCAGGGGAAGCTTGTTGAGAGCACCTTGGGGGTTACTAAATAATGCTGCTCTTCCAAGCCTCTGGGGCTGTGTTGGGAGGGACAGGCTCCAGGACTTCAGAGTTGCCCTCCAGACCTTTTCCCCCTTTCTTGTCAATTAGTACATGGTTCCCTTTTACCTCTGCATATCTGTTAAACAAAGGATTAACAATACTCTCGTATCTGGGCACACTGTTTTCTTCACGCCTTCTTTGGCCAGGTTTCACATTTTCCTAATTTTTCTGCTATGCTCCTCTTAAAAGTTTATTTCATTTTATTTGGAAGGTAGACACTGAGATAGACCGATTTTCTATTCATGCATTCACCATCCCTGCCCCCCCCCCATCCCAAATCCCTGCCATAGCCAGGACTCAGCCAAGTTGAAGCCAGGAGCCCAGAACTCACTCTGGGTCTCCCAAGTACTTGAGCCATCATCTACTGCTTCCCAGGTACACACCAGCAGAACACAGTGTGAGAAGCAGAGAGGCTGGAAGTCTATGGAGACAGTCTGAAATGGAGCATGGGCATCCTAAGTGGCAGCTTAGCTGCTGTGCCAAATGTCTGGCCCTGCTCTGCTCCTTCTTGCTTGAGATTCTCACTGCCAAACTTCTCAGCAGCTGTCAGTAATACCCATGCTGCAGCGTGAGTGCTTTGCTGCTTGCAGTCTCCTCCATCGACTAACTAGTCTACCATCTTTGAGTCCAGTCTCCCGATGAAGTATGTAGACAAGGATGCAATGAAGTCAGGCTGTTTTCCACTGTGTAACAAGGGGGGCTTGTTTGCCTCTGAAACCTCATCAGCACGCCCTTCACTGTCCACATTTATACCAGCATTCTGCTCCTCTAAGCCTGCACCAGAATCAGCTGTAACACTTGGCTCACAGCGTTCTAGGCCTTGTCTCACCTGTTCCTCCAAACTCCCCCAGGAAACTCTTCCAAAGGTTCCTCCACATCCTCAAGCATGGTTATTAGCAACGACCCTGCTCCATGGTACCAATATTCTATGTTAGCTTTTCATTACCACAAAATACCCAAGGAAACTAATTTTATAAAGACAAAATGCTTATTTAGCTCACTTGGGAGATTCAAGTCCAAGATCAGGCTGCTCTGTTCATTTGGCCCCCTTTGAGGGTGGCCATGGTGGTGGGACACCTGCAGAGAAAGAATTGCATGCTGAGCTAGGAAGCAGAGAAGGGTACTTGCCACTAGGCTCACCTGCTAAACACCTATTTGGATTAGGTTTCCACTCTCTTAGTATTGTTACCAGCAGTGGCTGGCTTGCCTTGATTCCTTTGAGCTGACAGAGTAACAAGTTGTAGTTCAGAGCTGAAAGTAGGGATAGTAAAACACATTGAAATACTTTCCAAGGGAGGAATAGACCAGTGGAGAGGGCACATGGCGCCCTTTCTTCCTGATTCGGGGCTTTCATCCATTGGTTAGTGATGTGGCCATGGTGCTCATGATCGGCATTTGTGGTTGACAACTGGAAGGTGCATACTTCTGGGCTCTTTACATATGGCTATAAACTAGACTTTTCCAGTTTGGCTGAGTTCCCATTTTGTCAGGATAGTTTAATGACAAGTTAAACTGCAAAGTGTGTGGTATTGAGTGGGTTGCAGCAAAAAGGAGGGTCCCTGGCCACTCCCCTGTCACTCATGTCTAATTATCTGCCTGAGAACTATCATCATCTTGTGACTTCTTGAGACCTGGCATGAGTTTGGAAGCCAAATCATGTTCCAACAACTTCTAAGTAACTTTGCTTGGTGATGGTTTCTCCTGTCTATACCCATGTTCTGTCTACACCATTTCTGAGTACCCTCATTTCATTTTTAAGGGTTCTGACTCACACTACCTTATCCACACCACACAGTTGGGTGCACTGATTGGATATACTGATGCTGTTGTAGTAAGAACAGTGATGCCTTTCCTAGTCACAGTTTGTGATCAGTTAGGAAACAGATGACTTCTATAATGTGCTTCAACATCCTGTGGGCCTCAGGGGTGTGTGTGTGTGTGTGTGTGCAAAAAAGCTGAGCCAGAGGCTACTGACCTAGACCTGCAGCTCATGGGCTCTCCTTATTAAACTGAATTGCAGTAGCTAAAATGCAAAATTGAAAATGTACCAATTCAGATCCTACATGTTCCTCCTTGTGCATTCTCCGCCCTGAAAGTAGAGTGGAAGGAGGGAGGAAACCGTGCCCCTGTGTGGTACACCAGAGACTGGGCACACGCCTCCAGGGAAGAGAGGCAAGGCAAGTCCACAAATAAGGGAGAACCAAGATCCATTCTCCCAGAGCCAGTTCCAATGTGGCACTGTGTCTTTTCTCAAACCCAAGTGAAGGAAAGACAAAAGAAACGAACGTGCTATCTGAAATCACTTGCAAATCCCCAGAAATGAACTGTGATTTACCTCAGGAAGCAGAGTTCAACAGAACCCAAGCTTCCATGGAAACTTCCACGTGAAAGGAAATGTTCTATGGCAATTTCAAAGGCAAAGAGATTCGGATTTTAACATTCATCTCACTTGTTCATTTTGAATATCAAAACTGTCTGTTTCAAAGGAAGCATTGTTGAGTACGGAGGCCCTGGAGACTCCTTATCATCTTTCTAAGTACCTTATAAATAATATCACCCCTTGAGATACTAGAAGCTTCATTTAAGGAAAAAGAATCAGAAAAAAAAGAGAAGAGTACATGTTAGAAATAATAGGATGGTCTGGCCAGTGTGTCCAACAGAATAGAATGAGAGACACTGAAGTGATTTTAAACTTTCTAGCAGCTAGGTTGTAAAAAATGAGTTAATGTTAATTTTTAAACAAAATATTTATAAAAAAATATTTTAAAATGTAATAACATAAATACATTGTAGTTGTACCATTCCTAAAATTTAGCACGCGTTTTTTTCTTTCCAGCAGATCTCTTTCCAGAGTAGCCTCATGTAAATTGCTCAGGAGTTGCATGTGGTCTCCAGCTATTCTACTGGACAAAGGGGTCTGTGGTAACAGACTGCATTAGTTACCACATCTGCTCCCATGCATCTAATGGCATGCGTGTCAACGCCCTTATGTCCTTGCCACTCTCTTTACTTTTTCAAGATTTGACAGGCAGAGTGACAGCAAAATGGAAAGGGAGAGGAAGATCTTCCACTTACTGGTTTATTCAGCAAATGGACACAACAGCCAGGGCTGGGCCAGGCCAAAGACAGGGGTGCTGTATGGATCTCCCACCTGGGTGCAGGGATTCAGGCACTTGGGCTACCTTCATGTGCTTTCTCAGTAGGGAGCTGGATCGGAAGTGGAGCATCTGAGACTTGAACCAGTGCTCCACTGTGGGATGTTGGTGTCTCAAGCAGTGGCTTAACTGCTACACTACAATGCCAGCCCCAGTGTCTTTCTTCTGGCCTAAGGTTTTCTTCCCTTGTCTATCTCCTTAAGATTTTTAGGGAATAGGTTTTGTGGTACAGAAATACCCGTATCCTGCATTGGAGTGATGAT